CAATGTAAAGAAACAAAACCTAAAATTTCTAGTCAGTTTACCACCTCTAGAATAGCCTTTCTTCAGTTCACTGAGGGACAGAAGTCCCTCTTGTAAATGTTATGGAGACTTCTCCACAAGAGGAAAAACTATCTCTCTCGTGGCTCTCAACTTCCTCACAGACAGTAGCTGCCCAGGGAAATCTGCAATCGTGGAGCCCCTCCCATTTTCCACCATCATTTCCCACAGTTGTGTCAATGGCCATGTCGACTGATGGGGTACTAATTTAAGGATGAGCTGTTCAAAGGCAAAGGTTCTCATTATCTATCTCTAAAACCATCTTCATCTCTGGGAACAGAGGTCTTCTCATCCTGGGGGCACAGGGTCTCATCAACCTTCTCTCTCTCTCTGTTCAAACTTCTCACGGGATCACAGCTACTTCAGCATCTGCTTACTTTAGCACAGAGGCCTTTGCTCATATCTACAGTCTGAACACTTCATCTCCCCATGCATTCATGCATTATAGGGAAAAAGAGTCCTTTCTCCATAGCTTATAAGACTTCAGCCCCAAGATCAAGGCATCTCCTCATCCCTCCCATCTGGGACCTGACTTCTCCCTCACTGACCTCGGTGTCTCCATGCTGCTCCTTCACGTGCTTGCATCCTGTTCCTTTCTCTCACTCGAGGGAGGGTGGAAGCACTGAAATGCCCATTAAAAACCGTGTGTGAGGCCCTGCTTTGGGAAGGGAAGGGCACCAGGATCTCCCAAACTGCTCCATTTGTTGGCTCCAAGCACCTTCCACTCTCCCAGCCTCTCCCTGCTTGGCTTTTCCATGACTAATTCCCAGATTTCTCCCAGTCCTGCTCAAACCCAGCCATGTGTCCTGGTTTGGTCCAATGTTGCTGTAAAAGAGATCTTGCTCTCCAAGTTCCATGAAATGAATTTTTTCTTATTTCCGCAGTTTTTCTAATTTATTCTCCCACTTTTTTCCTCATCTTCTTCAGACTTTCTCCCTTTTTTTCAGTAAAGTGTAGAAAAGTTTTTTTTCCAGATTTTACCCTTTTTTACTTTACTTTTTCCTGAGGGGAAAGTGAAGGGATTTTTCCCCTATTTCTTCCCTTGGGATTGGGAAGTAGGGTGATTTCCCTGCTCTGCTGCTCCCTGGCTGTCAAAATCCTTAATCCCAGCAGGGCAGCAAAACTTTCATCTCCTTTCTCATCATTTATCCCCAGACACAATGGTGGCAGATATTGCTTTTCGTTTTTCTTATTTCTTTCCCATCGTTTTCCATCTTTTCCGTGTGACTTCAGTGGTTTCCTTTTGGTTTTATTTCCTTTTTCCATTCAATTTTCCATCCAGTTTCTCACATCACCCAAGTGGAAAAAGAGTTTCTTTGCTCCTGCTTGGGTGGGTGGCTTTGCTTTGGGTTTTTTTCCCTCTTACTCTCTTTCCACAAGGGATGAAAGAACATTCCTGAGGGGAAGACCTAAATCCCATCCCATTCCACCCCCTGCCATGGGCAGGGACACCTTCCACCATCCCAGGGTGCTCCAAGCCAAATCCAGCCTGGTCTGGGGCACTTCCAGGGATGGGCAGCACTTCCAGAATTGGCCAGTGGTGAATTTCCCCCTTTTGCCCCCTCATTGCCCCAATTTTCCCAGGAAAAGTGGGAATTTCTCACCATGGGCACAATTAGCTGGGAGCATCCACAGAGAATGGGAATGAGAAGAAAACCCCAATAATTGGCTGCCAGAGCCATAAATGATGACAGGGGTTGTTCAGTGTGAGTACAAAATTCATCTAATAAATTTAATTATGCTGAAATTAAGGGAATTAATTGGCCCTGCTTAATGGGCAATGATGGTTGAGGACTGAACAGCAAAGCCTGCCATTCCATGGAAATGATGGGATTTCAACAAAACACACACCTTATGAAGCAGGGCTCCTTGGGGATGGGCAACCTGAGGAGTGGAAGGACTGGAATTCTCTAGGCTGGGTGGGAATTTTTGCTGTGGGACCACCAAAATTCCCTTCCAAGCAGAGTTCCCCTCTGGAGTAAAATACTCATTACAAAATGTCTTAAAATGGAAATAAACGCTCTGCTGGAGCAGCATCCTACAGGAATTCCTGGAATTAGGAAATGACAGCAAATGCACCTTTAGTTCAGCACTGCTGCACCCTCATTACTGTGGGTAATAATTAACCAGGAGAATAAAAAGGTCTTTTCCAGGCTGATATTGCCTCGGAATAGCAGGAATTAATGAGCAGTTGGTCAATATCGCACCCCGTTCCCTGTGACATAGCTGGAGTTCATCATCGCCCTCAAGGAATCGAGGTGATGAACCAGGATTGCCCAGCAAAAGTGGGAATTAGGGAGGTTTGCTTCCATATGGGGCTGATGAGGCTGCTCCAAGCCCCAGTGTCCAACCTGGCCTTGGGCACTGCCAGGGATCCAGGGGCAGCCACAGCTGCTCTGGGCACCCTGTGCCAGGGCCTGCCCACCCTCACAGGGAACAATTCCTAATTCCAAATATCCCCTCCATCCTGCCCTCTGGCAGTGGGAAGCCATTCCCTGTGCCCTGTCCCTCCATCCCTTGTCCCCAGTCCCTCTCCAGCTCTCCTGGAGCCCCTTCAGGCCCTGCAAGGGGCTCTGAGCTCTCCCTGGAGCCTTCTCCTCTCCAGGTGCGCGCCCCCAGCTCTCCCAGCCTGGCTCCAGAGCAGAGGATGAGGAATTCCCTGCTGTTTTGCTGCACCTCAGAGCCTTTAACAGCATCAGCAGCTCCTCCCCTGGCCAGGAAGCAAAGCAATCCCTGAGATCCTCCGGAAGGCTCCAGAGCAAAGCAGAGGCTGAGACATTCCAGCTGCATCCCAGGGTCCAAAACAGGGCTGGGGAAAGGTGAATTCATGGATATTTTTTAAAGTCTGACTCCATCTGCTGCCTCGTGCTTCCTTCAGAGTCTCCTCTCAGGAAAGTGTTCATTTGATTCCAAAATCCCAATGGCACCACAGGGCTGTAAAACTCCATCCCAAGAGCATTCCCAGCTCACTTCCCATTGGAAGGAATATCCCAGCCCAGAATCAAACCAAACAAAATACCTCCATTAAATCACATCCTTTTTATCATTTTTTTGTCCCTGGGGAATAATTTCAGGTTCTTGTGGCAGTGGAAAGACTCCAGATGATCCAGGACCCTGCACATGGACCTGGACCCAGGCACCAGCACCAGGACCCTTCACCCTAAATTTGGGCACTCAACCCTATCTGGGACCCCGCACCCCAAAGCTGGGAGCCTGCACCCCAAAGCTGGGTCCCTACAGGCCAAAACTGGGTCTCAGCACCCCAAAACTGGATCCCTGCTCTGTCTGGGACCCTGCAGCCCAGCCCTGGGTCCCTGCCCCAACACCCAGAGGTGCCCCCAGCATTCCTTGGTTCTGTGACATCCTGAGGGAACACCTGGGACTTGGACAAGGCAGAAAATCCCCCAGGATGAGGTCCTGGCTGTGGCCATTCAGGGATTTGGGAACCCTTTCTCCAGCAATCTCCTGCTGAAGGATCAGGTTTGTGTCCCTTGGTGTCACCCACACGTCCAGGAGTCCTGAGGTTGGCAGAGACATTCCTGGAGCCTTGCAAACATTTGGGGTTTCATTAAAAGCTCTGTATAAAAATGTGTTTGTGGCACTGCTCTGGTTGTGAAACTTAAAAGGAAAATAATAAATCCTGAACTTCAGCCAGGGACCTGCTGAGCATCCAGGGGGATTCCAGATTTTCCCTGATCCCACATTGCAGAGAAACATAATAAAACTCACTTTTATTTTCTTTGGAAAGAAAGCACACAGATACTTCAACCCTCATCCCCCCTCCCCCTAGAACAAGGCACAGCAATAAAATCCTGCAAGAAACTCCCATTTCCCCCTTTTCACGTGGAGAAACTTTCCTTGGATGTTCTCCTGCAAATTAAAACCAGCATTTCCCAAGGAGATCTCCCAGAGTGAGGAATGGGTTTCTCCTTTTCCAAATTAAATTAAAGCATGCAAACACAGCAATTCCCTTGGGTTTTTTTCATTAAACCTCTCTGTCCCAGGGTCAGCCATCCCAGCCTAGCTCCCTGGGCAGATCCCACTGGTCCAAGGCCACTTGGCAGCTCCCTCACAACCTCGAGGCACTTCTCAAGGAATTTGCAGGAGCTTGGTTCTGCCTGTTGGAATTCCATAACTGGAACCTCAGTGTTCAGGTAGGAAACTCAGAATCATGGAATCATTCAGGCTGGAAAAGACTTCCAAGATCATCTAGTCCAACCTTTGACAAAATCCCACTAAACCCCCTCCCAAAGTGCCACATGGACCCATTTTTTGGCCACTTCCACGATGGTGATCCCACCACTGCCCTGGCAGCCTGGGCCAGTGTTTCACCTCCTTTTCAGCTTGGAGTTTTTCCCCAATACCCAGCTGGTGTCCTCGTGGTGGAGGATAAAAGGAAATGTCACCTCCAGCCTGTCCCTGCTCTATCCCAGAGTGGGAGATGGGAGCAGAGGAGGAGCTGCAGAGTGGGAAGAGGATGTGGGAGCCCCGAGCCTGATCCAGGCAGGCTCTGCAGAGGCTTCCCGGGATTCCATGGCCATCCCTCCTGATTCCCCCAGGATCACCAAACGTCCCTGAGGTCACCTGGAGGCACGGATAGATGGTGGTGGGACCTGCCTGAGGCCATAGCCCTGCTGCAGGGTTGTTCCCAGCAGGAATTTTGCTCCACACTGGAGCTCTGCCCCTCTTGCTGCCCTCAGATCAGCAGTGGGGCTGGGGCACAGGGGGAGTCCCCCCCCCGGGCTGTCCCTCCCTGACCCTGGTGCCCAACTGTCCCCCCAGGGCAGGGGGGCTCCCTGTGCTCTGTGTCTTCTCCAGCTGCAGCTCCTGGAAGTGGTGCTGGAGGTGCTGCAGGAGCCCCGGGGAGCCCCGGTCAGGCTGGGGGGGCCCAGGGATGGAGCTCAGGGACACAGAGGAGGTGGGATGGGGATGTTCCCTCTGTCTCTGCACAAGAGAGGGAAAGATCAGGTCAGCTCAGAGCTGGAAGCTCCAAGAGGATCCTGCCCACACATTCCTGGCTCCTCGTGGCTTGGAGCCCAGCCACGGACACGAGGGGCAGCTCCAGGTGGCAGGACAGACACTGTGTCACCTGATGGACATTTCACCAAACTGAGCTGGACACAGAGCCTCTGGAGGTGATCTGGGGGTCCCCACGGCTCTCTGAGACCCCAACCCCCTGAGACCTGGCCCCCTGAACCTCAGCCCAGCCTCGGAGCAGGACCTGGGGCCTGATTCACCTGGACCAGGGGCTCCCTCGGAGCTCCTGGAGCTGGGGCCTTGTCCAGCTGCCGCCTCTGCTCGCCCTCCTGCAGGGGACAGGAACACGGCTGGCCCCACTCCCTGCCACCCGCGCAGGGGCTGCAGAGGGGCTGGCATTGCCCCGAGGATGACAATGGGGGCTTCCCCAAGGGCTGATGCTGTCATGGACCCCATGTCCTTCCTCCCAGTCCCAGATCACCTCCTTCCTGTGCTCAGCGGCTCCCAGGGCTCCCTCCAGCCTCTGCCACTGCCCGAGGCGCCGCTGGATCTGCTGCCGGAGCCCCCTCAGGACGTGGAGAGCGCGGCTGGGGGAGGGCGGGGATGAGCTGCGGGGGAACGGAGGGAGCAGGGGTCGAACGAGTGGGACACCCCGGCCCCCTGGGCAGCTCCCGGGACTCACCCGAAGGCTGCCGGCGAGGGGCCCGGTCCCACGGCACTGCAGGGGCGGAGGCCGTGTCCCCGCGGGGCCAGCGGGGGGTTCCCCAGGCCCGGGGAGCCCCCGGCCCGCCCGGGCACCGCCGGGTCCCGCGGGCGGCTCCGCAGATGCTCCCGCCGGACGCCGCTGCCGGCCCGGTCCTGGAGGGGCAGGGAGAGAGGGGTCAGGGCAGCTCTGCCCCCCTGGGAGAGCTCTGGAGCCAGGTCAGAGCTTCCAGGGAACATCCGGAGCCCCCCGCGCTGAGCAGAGGTTTGGAAGGAGCAGAACAAGCACAGAAACAGCCGGGGGTCCCTCCTGAACCATCCCCGGCGCAGTCCGTGCCCCCGACACCACTGTCCCCACCAGCCCCGCTCCTGAAGGGGGAAAATGCCCTGGGTGGCCTCAGAGGAGCAGCACCCCTGGGCTGCTGTGCCCCCCTGGCCGATCCCCGGCTGCGGGGCTGGCTGTGTCCCGGCAGCTGCCTCACCTCCCCAGCGCTCCCTGCTCCAGTCCCTGACCTGCTCCAGCGCCTCCCGGAGCTGCCGCAGGGTCTCGGCCTGGTCCCTCCGGAGCAGCCCGTGCAGCCGCTGCAGCACCCGCAGCCGCTGCCGCAGCAGGGAGCGGCTGCCCCGCTCCAGCTCCCGCAGCCTCTGCAGGACAACCGGAGTCACCCTTTGGCTGCCCAGGGCCACCCCGCAGCCCCTGCCCGGCTCTTCCCAAGGGCAGTGTCCGGGCAGGAGCCCAGCCTTGCTGCCCGTTGGAAAAGGGCTGAGCTTTGCTGGTTCGGTGCCCAGGAATTCTCACCCCGGCCTCCAGCCCTGCCTGTTTTTCTGCCCTTCCCAACATTCCAGCTCCCCCTGCCTCTGCCGGGGCTCTCCAGGGACCCTCAGAGCTGCAGACAGTGCCCCCAGGCTGCCTACAGCCACAAGGGTGGTTTTCCCAACAAATTCTTCTCCTAAAGGCCTCAGTTCCCCAATAAACCCTCCCTGTGGATAAATCCGGCTTGGCTCTTTAGGAATTTGGGCTGCAGGAATGTTTCCCGTGGGATGCTGGAAAAGGCACTGAGCTGTGGCAGGGTGTGATGTGTGTGCTCCTTCCCACAGCCCCTTCGGTGTGATCCTGGCCCCTCCGGAAAACCGGGAGTGCACTGACCTCCAGCAGCTCCAGTTTCTCTTCTTGTGCAGTTGCTGTTTTCCTTCTCTCCTTGTCCACCCGCTCCTGGCACACACAGGCTCCCTGCCCCTGCCAAGACTGCAAAAACCTCTTTTCCCATTCCCACATCTTGGCCTCCTCCAGGAGCTGGCTCTGTCCCTCCCATCACACCCAGAGCAGTAAAACAGAGCCACCCCAGCCTGTCCCTGCCACCTGCAGCAGTGCCAGCCCTGCCACCTGCTTGGGCCATCCCGAGGTCACCTCACCATCCTCTGCAGGTCCGCATGGCACCGGTGATGGGTGTCCCAGGTGTGTCCCAGCAGTGCCAGGCCAGTCCTGTGCCAGGAACACCATCACCCACATCCCCAGTCACGCCACAGCCCAGCTCCGCCCTCAGGGTGCCCATCCCCTCCTGGGCTTCCAGGGCCACCTTCTGCTCCAGCCTCGGTGCAGGAGCCATCCCTGGAGCCCCATACCTGGCTCTGTCCCCTTGGCTCCAGGGCTTGGCACCAGATCCCAGCTCTCGTGTCCCCTCCCAGCTCCTCCGCAGGGACCAGCGCAGTGGCTGCCCCGCCACGCCCTGGCATCCAGCATTGGGGTTACAATCCCATTTGCCCCCTTTCCATTGCATTTCCTCGTGCATTTCTGTGGCCACCACGTGGGACACAAGGGCCAGGGCCAAGCTTGGTGTCCTGCTCTCTCCAGATCCCAGCTGGAAGCGGAGCCAGGAGCATCCCTGCATCCATCCCTGCCCCCACCACCCTGTCCCAGGCAGGGCTGTGCCCACGGCAGACCCCAAACCCCATACCCCAGGGCTGTACCTTGCAAGGCAGTTCCCCTTTCTGGTCCCCACGCAGCCCTGGGGACACAGGTGACCCCCATCGCTCGGGGACTCCCACGGCTGTGCCAGCACCTGTGGGAAAAATGGCATTTGGGGAGCGAGGAGACCACTAACAGACAGAAACCCACAGGCAACAGGGGCTGGTCCCTGCCACCGTGTCCCTGGCCCTGTCATGTCCCTTCCCTGCCTGTCTCAGCCCTGCACGCTCCCGCAGCCCTTCCCAGTGCCCCAAGGCCTGCCCGCACTCACTCCTGCTGCTGGTGGCTCCTTCCCTGTCCATGGCAGCCACAGTGAAGGTGACATTCCCTCCACGTCCCCAGAGAGCTGGTGGCCCCAGGGCAGGATGTGCCCTGGTTCTGGCACTGCTGGCCCTGGGAACACTGCTGCCAGGAGAGCTTGTCCTTGCCCCAGCCCTGCTCCTGCCAGCAGCGATCCCTGCAGCTCTCCAGGAGTGCCCAGGCAGGGCCGTGGCCAGCAGCTCCCCACGGGCAGAGTCCCTGTGGCCCAGGGCTGGCTGGGCAGGGGGGCCCGGCCAGGGGACCCCCCAGGCCACCCCCCCATGGCTCTGGCTCAGGCGGGAGATCCTCGCTCCCAGGGACTCCAGGCTGCTCCGGGATGGAGACCTGTCCTGCCGGGGGGCTCTGCCCGGCTCCATGGCCGTGTCCAGGCTTCTCCCTGTGGGGAACAAGGGCTCGTCCTGCCCAGGATGAGCTCCTGCCGTGGGGACATCCCCAGCAGGCTCCTGCTGGCACAGCAGCGGCTCCACCATTCCCTCCCAAAAGCTGACAGCGAAGTCCTCGGTGCAGACAGAGCTGGAGCTGCTCCAGTGGCCCAGGCGGTCGCGGGAGCCCGGGAGCTGAGCCCAGGAGTGCTCCTCTTCCCGTGGGACAGGGCTGCCACCCCGGGCACAGCCGGCACAATGTCCTGCCAGCTCTGTGGGGGACAGCAGAGCCATGAGCCCACCCCAGTGGGAAGGAACCTTCCCCTCCTGCTGGATCTGAACCACCTGGGAGGGACTGGCCTGTTCTTAGCAGGGAGCACTCAGGGTACACCAAAGCACTGACACTGAACACATCCCACCCTCTCCCGCAAGATCCTCAACAGCCTCCAGTAGGAAAAGCCACAGTATCATCCTTATTTTCGTTCTAAACTAGGGTCATTTTTGACCCTAGGGTTGGCACAGCCTGGCCGGGGGGCAGTGCCAGGGACGGCTGGCAGTATCCAGGATGGGGCAGGGATGCTGTCAGTTCTTCCCAGGGAGGAATTTTCCCTAATATCCAATCTAAACCTCCCCTGGCCTAAGCTGAGGTCATTCCCTCTCTGTTCCCTGGAGCACAGCCCGATGCCCCCCCCGGCTGTCCCCTCCTGTCAGGAGCTGTGCAGAGCCACAAGGTCCCCCCCGAGCCTCCTTTTCTCCAGGCTGAGCCCCTTTCCAGCTCCCTCAGCCTCTCCTGGGGCTCCAGCCCCTTCCCAACTCCTTGAACCTCTGCTCCATCACCATTCCCAGCCAAGCATTGTTCTCCAGGAGAACTGGCACAGGGAGCTGGGGGGCCAAGCAGAGCTGAGAAAGCCCCGGGGTGCCCCGTGCCCACTCACCGGCCATGGCAGGACACTGCTGGGAGGGATGGCACCGTCCCGCTGCCACCAGCGCTCAGCACAGCCACAGCCGTGTGCTGTAGGGAGTGGGACAGGGAACGGGACAGGGAATGGGACACTGCCAGATGTGTTCACCAGGGGGGACAAGGCAGGAGCACCCCAGGGCTGGTGCTGCAGCTGCACCCCCACATCTGAGCCCCGCAAAGGAACCCGCCCTTCCCGCACTCCACACCTGGATTTCAGGTTTCCTCAGCGGGGTCCAGATCCAGGATCCTGAAAGCCCTGGGCTCCAGGGCTGCAGAGAGGAGGAAAGAAGCGTTGAGGGTCTCAAAGCCCTCGGGGGTGGGCCAGAAATCCCCAGGGGGTTTCTCCAGCGGGGCCAAGCAGGGCAGGAACCACCCTGGACTCCCAAACCGCTGCACACTGGAGAGGATGGGGCAAAGCCGTGCCAGAGCAAAGGTGTGCTGGGCCGGGTGTGCTGGGCCGGGTGTGATGACCCAGGTGTGATGACCCAGGTGTGCTGGGCCGGGTGTGCTGGGCCAGGTGTGCTGGGCAAGGTGTGCTGGGCCAGGTGTGCTGGGCTAGGTGTGCTGGGCAAGGTGTGCTGGGCCAGGTGTGCAGGGGAAGGTGTGCTGGGCCAGGTGTGCTGGGCCGGGTGTGCTGGGCCGGGTGTGCTGGGCCAGGTGTGCAGGGGAAGGTGTGCTGGGCTGGGTGTGCTGACCCAGGTGTGCTGGCCCAGGTGTGCTGGGCCGGGTGTGCTGACCCAGGTGTGCTGACCCAGGTGTGCTGGGCCGGGTGTGCTGACCCAGGTGTGCTGACCCAGGTGTGCTGGGCCAGGTGTGCTGGGCTAGGTGTGCTGGGCAAGGTGTGCTGGGCCAGGTGTGCAGGGGAAGGTGTGCTGGGCTGGGTGTGCTGACCCAGGTGTGCTGGGCCGGGTGTGCTGGGCCGGGTGTGCTGACCCAGGTGTGCTGGGCCGGGTGTGCTGACCCAGGTGTGCTGACCCAGGTGTGCTGGGCCGGGTGTGCTGACCAAGGTGTGCTGACCCAGGTGTGCTGGGCCGGGTGTGCTGGGCCAGGGCTCAGTGCAGGTGCTGAGACCGACAGGGCCCAGCCCGGCCCAGCCGCCCCCGGAGCTGCGGTGCCAGCGGGTGATGGGGCCGGGGGCTGGGTTTCCTTAAGCCCGGGGCATCGGCACTGGAGCTGCACTCGGGAGCCGCAGGTGCCCAGGGCCACGGCCGTGCCCAGCGCCCCGGGGAGCACAGGGAGGGTCAAGGGCCCGGGTCCCCCCACCGCAGCCCCGACTCACCTGGGGCCGGCAGAGAGGAGGCAGGAGCGGGACGGGCAGGGCTGTGTGTCTCTGTCTCCTGGCAACATCCCTCAGGGACCGGTCTGAGCCTGCCCGGATTCCCCACCCGCCTCCGCAGCCCCTGCCCGGACCCTCCTCCAGCTCCCCCGGGCCAGCTCCTCCCCACCATCCCCAGGGAATCTCCGTGTCTGGGTAGCTTCCCCCGACCCCGTTTGTTGCTCCTCCTCCTCTGGGCCACCACCACCTTTCCCCCTGGCCAGGCTCCCCTGGGACATCTCCACCCCGATGATGTCTCCTGGCCCATCTCCCTCCGGGGGCAAACCCTGCCCTGCTTCTCCTTCTCCTCCAAGCTGTTGCTCCCAGATAATCTCCTTCCATGTTCCTGCTTCCCTGGACCTCCTGCCTTGGACAACTTCCCCTGGATCACATCCCCTCCTGCCCCTCAAACCACCCTCCCTGCACCATTTCCCCCCCTTGGCAGATCCTCCCCAGATCCTTCTCCTTCCCTGAACCACCACTTCCCTGGACTTCCCTGTCCTATGAGCAACCTCCTCCTTTGAGCAACATTCCCTGATCTTCTCCTTCCTGTGCCACCTTCCAGGATGCCTCCCTGTTCCCCACCCCGTGTCCATGTCCCCTCTCACACCCTGGGGAGCCAGTGACCATCTCAGCACCACGGCCTTTAAAACTCCCGAATCCAAGTTTTATTTCTGTGTAGGAGAAGAGGGATCACTCACAATATATTGTTGTTCGAAAAGAAAATACATTCAACAGCATTTACAGTGGAATGACATTAAAATCCTCGAGGAGGAACAGAAGGACCAGGAGATGGTGCTCTGGTTAAGTGCTGCTGATAAGATGATCTCTGGAAGATGGAGCAATTTTTACCATTAGCCTAAAATCCAGGGGATTTCTGCATTGGGGTGCTCCTCGTGCTCCCCCAGGCTCCGTGGAGCTGTGCAGGGTCTGTGATGGGGGTTCCCAGACGGAGGAGGCGATGGGGGCACAGCAGAGGAGACCCCTCGGTGCCAGCACGTAGGGAGCACATCCCACTCCCTCTGCTCCACTCAGGAACCCCAATCCAGCCTGGGAACAGCCTGTGCTGGAGCTCGTCCCTGCTCCAAGCTCCCGGGTGACACTTGCATTGACACAGCAAAAAGGCAAATAAGGCATTCTGAAGAGCTCCATTTCAGCCCCTTCTACAGACCTGACTCGGGGACAAATCCCCCGGGACACTTCGGTGCTGCCACAAGCCAGGGCAGCGGCACCAGGGATCAGTGGGGAGCAGCCTCCCTCTCCCAGGCAGGACACCTGGGGCCAGGACACAGGCAGTTCTCACAGGCCAAATCCCAGGCTGGAGCATTTAAGATCAGCTTTCCTGAGCCAGGGTAAAGCTCCAGGAAGGAGTGAGCATTCCGGAGCAGCTGCTGCAACTCTTGGGACACTGGGAAGCAGCTTGGAGCATCCCATTCCCAGGAATCCCTAGTGCCACAAACCCCAGACAAATCATTTCCAGATGGGAATGTCTCTGGAACACCTTTTCCATGCTACAGGATCCAGCTTTGGAGCAAACCGTTGCTTCCCTGCTATGGGAATCGTTCCATCGCCACCACCCGAGCTCGGGGACGAGCCGAGGGGAATCGTACTCGTGCTGTAAAAACTCAGACAGACACTTCTGTCTTCATCATTTTCATCTTTTGTGTACCATAGAAATTTAAGCAAAATAATTTTTTATATATTTATATATATATATATATGTATAAATTAGAAGCAAATAAATAAGATTAAAGGGTGTACTGAGAGCAGTGGGGGCTGCCCTGCAGCACGGTGACGCCGTGAGGGCCGTGGGGACTGTACACTGTGGGGATCACAGGGATGGAAGTGCTGGAAGCTGATCAGGAGGAGACTGATGGATGAGGAACCTGATTGCATAAGTGTCCCGTGTGCAAGCCTGGATATTCCAGTTACCATTGCCTCAAGGTTCATTATTGCTAATTAACTTCACATGGGTGTGACGGGCTGGCTTGGGGCGGCCCCGGAGGCAGGGTCAGTGTGATATGATGGAGAGCCAGAGAAGAAGACAGCAAAAGCGGGATCCAGCAGGGCCAGTGCAGGTCTCCAGGTGTTCCTGCTACTCCCTGGCCTAGCAAATCCCATCTTTTGGGATGGATGGTGGATGCCACCACCTCCTGCTTCCCTTCGGGGCTCCCAGTCCTCACCTGTCACCAGCAGTGCTCGCCCCGCTCCTCCGGGTGCATCCAGGGCCAGGGAGGGTAATGGCACCCAGGAGGGGTGAGGGGGGTGAGGGGTCCCTGCCCTGACAAATTAGAGCTGTTGCAGGGAGAGCCCAGGATGAGGGAGGGGAGGAACAGGAGTTGGGAGTGGGCGCTGGGATGCAGGGACCCTCCAGCCTCAGCCTGTAGCCAGGCCTGGCTGGCTGAACGGGGTGGGAGATGCAGGACCAAGGCTCCATCCCAGCAGCACCACGGCAGCTCTCCCCTCCTCTCCCCATGGCACCTCTTCCCTCCTCTCCCACCCAGCCTCAGGCACAGCTCAGCAGGGAGACACCAATGGAAAAGCTGGAATTGAGATCCAGCCCCCATGTGCAGGGACACAGAGCAGGGACACAGAGCCAGGAGCATCACTGGGACAGAAACTCTTCACTGCATCAGCCTGGCGTTCCCAGCCTGCAGGGGCCATTTCCCCCTTCGGATGTGGTTGCAGGAAAACCAAAGCAAACCTCACTCAAACCACTCCCACACGGTAAAGACAGGCCCAAGCTTTGCCTGAACACATCAGACTGTGGGGAAGCACCTTCGACACTCTTGATAAAAATAAAAACCAGGTCAAAAACCTCAAAGTCACCAGCTCAAATATCCTACTTGTTGTTACTGGGATGACTGGACACTGTGGAACCACCAAGAGCCTCTGGGATCAAGTGCCACAGCTCCTGGGGACAGTTTTCTAAGCAGAGTTGTTCATGTCCATCTTTGAAGGAAACCTGAACCAGGAGCAGGATTCGTTTTTTTTAAAAAAATAATTCCATAAAGTCCA